GCAATATATAATATGATGCAATATATAAATTGCAAAATAATTATGATATATTAAATTGACTCAGAGAGATTTCGCAGAAGTACTTTAAAAAAAAAGGAAACTAATAATAATTAATTCTGTTACGGAACTTACCTTATACAAATAGATTTGTATCCTCGCCGCGGGGTCGTAACATAATTAATCAACAGGTTGCATAAATGTATTGTATAATATACAAGCGGCACTGGGCAATATCATCTATATACATGTACGTGCAAATTGGCAAGTAAAATATGATTCAATTGCGTGGATAAACACGGTGTAACGTTTTCATTATAATTTAAAATAAAACGAAAAATGGTTATCATGATCAGTTAACCAGTCTTTAACACGCGTACATATAAATACACTTCTTTACGCTTTGAAAAAGAATATGTTGTTATTGGAAACTCGACTGAAAAAAAAAATACAAATTGTATTAAATTACGTGCAAATGAGTTTTTTACACGCAATGTTGCGTGAGAGATCGCCACAGACTTACTGGTTACGCAACGTAGATTCAAAATGATAAGGAAAATAAGGAAACAATGGCACAGTGATCTATTGTAAACGAATCATATCGTTTATGACTGCGAATAGAGTTTACATGTTCATAACAATAAACTTAAAGGGGTAGGGCAACCTCAGTTGAGCGACACCTCCATCAAGCGACCTCTGAGTTATAACAACCGTTTAGTACACTCCCAAAATCAAACTTTGTTTTTTGTTGTTGTTGTTTTTTTTGTTTTTTTGTTGTTGTTTATAGTGCCGGTTTATACGAGTAGTAAAAAATTTAAGCTACTAAGCTCCTTAGAACATTTTTTGTAAACCAATATTCCGTTTCTAATAAGGTTATGTTTGACGTTTTTGCAATGTCCATTCTAATTAAGATAAACGGATAAAGATAAACACGCCTTCATGTTGTTTCCATTGTTTTATACTTTTTTTGCGATAACTGAATTTAAATTTATTCTTAAAATGTCATAAACATCTTTCTCTATTTCTTATATCCTTTGCTAAATGAACAAATGTCATTCTTATAGTTTACGAAGATGCTTGGCACGATAAAACTACATTGATCAAATTCCTACACACATGACAAATATCAAATCATTTTCTTTCTTTTTTTAACTCTGTCAGCTCGTGATTATGCATTATGGTAATATTTCTTTCGGATCTTTTTATGTTTTTTGACAGAAAATTACATCGCGTGATACATCACAAAAATGCAAAAATAAGTCAAGAATATAGAAATGCAAGACGATATTTAATGACAATGAAAATTGCTTACAAATATATTAAACAGAGCAAAACCAGGTAAATAATACCCCAAAGGTTAAAAAAATGATAATATATATATATAAAAAAATGTTCGGCACCCATAATAGTAAAATGTGAATTTGGTGTCGAACAGGTAATATAATGATAAAATGATATTTCTAAATCATCTTTTTTTTAAATCATTATTATTATAATATTTTAACATTTTTATTCCATTCTTTTTTATGTTATATTATAATTTATTTGTTTGTTTGTTTGTTTGTTTATTTATTTATTTATTTATTTATTTTATTTATTTATTTATTTATTTATTTATTTATTTATTTATTTATTTATTTATTTATTTATTTATTTATTCATTCATTCATTCATTCATTCATTCATTTATTTATTTATTTATTTATTTATTCATTCATTCATTCATTCATTCATTCATTCATTCATTCATTTATTTATTTATTTATTTATTTATTTATTTATTTATTTATTTATTTATTTATTCATTCATTCATTCATTCATTCATTCATTCATTCATTCATTCATTCATTCATTCATTCATTCATTCATTCATTCATTCATTCATTCATTCATTCATTCATTTATTCATTTATTCATTTATTTATTTATTTATTATTAAAACATATTTTGTCGGCGTCGACGTCAAAATATTGTTGAGCCGGAAATATAAGACATTGAATGAGTGTGGGTTCATTACTGAATTTATTGAATGAGTTGAATGAAATAATATTATGCAAGTAATATTATTCTTATCACATACCAAAAATAAAGACCGTTTGAAGTGAATAAGAATCATTTTTCATCGACACACCTATAGTGCATGTACATGTATCACGCTAACATTTGGCGGGTCATAAAGCTGTGTTTATATAACGGGAATGACGTCGCGTCAAAATAATATGAACGACCGTGCAATACAAAATTTACGGAGTCATAAAAGCGGCGCGGGTATGTGATAAAGTGTGTAATGATATTGCATTAAAGACGTTTTAGTGATGGGCTTTTAGCGGAATTTTTTTAAAATATTTGACGTATAAAATATATATTTTTGTAACAACATGTTTCTCAAAATTCTGAATGTTTTTAAGTATGTGTGAGATAATTTCTTTAACAACCCCTCGTGCATATACATGGCCGCTAACAGAGATGTTTAGTTAATATGTGAAGCTACTGCTGTTGTTGTTATTATTGTTTTAATCGTCTTTTGGCGAGAAGAACAAAATCTTTAAGACTATTTTTTGTAAATAAATCGATATTAATGAAAATGAACAGATGTTCGCTATTTTTGAGGCTTTGCATTTGTAGTAATATTTAAGGGAAATGGTAATGGGAAATAACTCTAAAGTACACGCGTGATATATAAGAAGAAATAAAACTGTAAAATATTGTAATTCATATTAATCTAAGTGTGAAATAAGCATTCCTAATATATTTTTATTTAAGCCATTTCAATTTAGTACATATTTATAATAAGTAGCAAATGAGAATCAAAAGATGTTAAAATAGTCACTGCAGAAACAGCATCAATTAATGAATGCATCCCCAATGCACGAGCCCAGTCAGTATTTTTAATTAAATATTGTCAATGAAATAATTAGGAAGCAATTAATCAATTTATTCATTCATTCATTCATTTTTTCATTCATTCATTTATTTATTCATTCATTCATTCATTCATTCATTCATTCATTCATTCATTCATTCATTCATTCGTTAATCAATTCACTTTTTCATTCGTTAATTCGTTTGTTCATTCGTTCATTTATTCTATCATTCGCTCTCTTGTTCGACTGTTCATTATTCAGTTCATACTTTCATTCATTATTTCTTTTATTTGTTCATTCGTTCGTTTCTCATTTTTTCATTCACTCACTCAAGCATTCGTTCGTTCATTCATTCATTCGTTCATTCATACGACTTAGACTTCCATTCTTATCCTTTTCTTTATTATAAAATGCTTTATATGTATTGTAAATGTGTATATTTATTATATACTTATAAATGAAATATTGAGAAATATTGATGAGATATTATGCTTATTTTCTGTACAAATTCCAATTTTTTTACACTACTGTCTTGCCGGACTACTTTTTTCTAAATTCAGCAAATAAACAGAATTTAAGGGGTAGTCTTTCATTTTTTTTCCTATAAGCACAGGATTTATTTTCATCTTGTGATATGAAAAGTTTTATATTTCATGCCACTCGATGAAATTGAATCATGTATTTATAGATACAAAACTTGAATATCCTTTATTGATATGTTTATACATCTATTCGGGAAAAAGACATATCCACATATGTTTTGTGGCGTTTTAATTTACTCTGTTTACTTTTGTGTTATCTATACCATATAGTCATACTGAATCGTTGTTATTCCGTCTAAGTTATTCGATCCTCGACAATATGCTAAATCAGCGAAACATCGCAACTCTATTATAATCTTTGCGAATTCATGAACATTTTTTTTTTTTTTGTATTTGTACGGCCGATATGCAGTTTTAAACAATTATAAAACGCACTCAATTATTAATGAAGTTTTACATTTTGGGAGTCATGCGACTAATTTTAGAATTATTTTACCGATAAAATTATCAAAACTGATAATTATATTGATTAGCCTTTATACGAGGCAATCAAATAATTACCGGCGATCGTATCGCCATCTGCGATCTTTGTTATAGAAACGCTTTCAAATTTGAAGCGATAATAGCTATAAGTCGATAATTGTACGGTTTCCGTTAGCCTCCATACATGGCACTCGATATGTATTGGAAATAGTTAGCTAGAAATAACAACGTCGGTTAATATCCATCACTTCGCATTATTCTTTGATCAATGAAGTTATTGAATTTTCACTTTTTACCTATCTATGGTATTTGTTTATTGATTGGTCCTTACACGCATGGTTTAGCTATAACGTATTGATCGAAGCTAGAAAGCCGGAGCGTACCGAATCTATTTCCGATCATTTGATACAGTGTGCCGGTGAAACTATAACGTTTCGGACAGTGTTAGACTATTGGAAATATTATGATTTAACATGAATGGATGTTGAATAAAAAATGATCAACGTTTGTAAAGGGAAATGAAACCGATTCCGTAACCAAGACAGCCGCAATTTTCTAACAACATTATTATAACGAAATGGAAAGTGAGACTCGTATTAAGAAATTGATGGAATAATACGTTTTATGATAACATGTTAAAGGCATGGATATTCGCTTGCAGACGAGTTTAAAATGAAATATAAGTGACGTTTGATATAAGAATTGAAAGTGTTTTTTTTATTATTATTATTTGATTTATTTATAAATAAAAGTTGTAATACTTTTTATATCATAATAGTAGTCGGAAATTTTTTTTTCTACGTATAATAAATAATATCATAAAGGATTATGAAAATATTATTTTCGGAAACAAAACAGAAAGTTAAGATTTTTAAGCTGAAAAATGAGGTTTTGAACTAAAATTTAAATGACTGAACTTTTCAGACAATGATGGTATTGCTTTAATTTCATTGTGTAAATTTGTAAAACTGATTAAAGACAATAACTGTTTAAAAAATGACATATAATTTTATTGTAATATATTCATGACTTTTGCTTCGCTATGTTAACTAAGCTAAATATGTAAAGCACTAAACCCACCTTTTATTAAACAGTGATAATTGTTGTGGAAAGTATCGTTTATGTAATGTGCGTGTTTAATTCAATATAAATAAACGTCTGAAGATTTTAAAATAATAAACCACCTGAGTGTGCTATGATAAAAAACAGGAAATACATAAAGCAGAAAGATATCATAAAAGAAGTTTATTCAAACTCACGGAATACGTCTCAATATCATGGAATTATTCAATAAAATACTTATGAGGAATTTACCGTACAGATTGGCTTGCATTTACATTATTATGTATACCGGATCTGTCCTAGCACCGAATCCTGAGAATGTCTACCCACTAATGCGAACGTAAGTCATCTTTTTTTTTACTTTTTTTACTTTACTTTTTTTCCTTATTTTTTCTTCTTCTTTTCGCAGACAAGAAAAAATGAAACTAAAATAAGTAAAGATTTTTATCACATGTTAAACATTCATTTGCTATCTAAGAATAAGTATTTACCCTTAATCATGCAAATTGAATCATTATACATATAAAAAATCATTTACTAATATACGTTACACTACCATATTAAGGGCTTCAGTACTTTATACTGTTGAAACTATATAATGTTTAAAATTAGTCACCAGGGCAGGCGTAAGCGTAGCTTTTCAAGCCTGCAAATGGTATTGTTTTACTTTTTTGTTCAGCGATTTTGAAAAAAAAGGTGTTTAAAGGTTTCACTATTCGTTTCTTAATATGATTGCTTATACATGTAATTGTATACATTGCTCTTGCAAATAATTTAATGTGACAGTGTAAAGCAGATATCCATATATGTATATCTTATATCAAAGTTATGATTTCCTCTATCAATCGCTTACCAACACTTACACATTCTTCATCAAACAACATGAACAAGCTTATAAATGTAAGGGCTCCAAACGTACGACAATTCCAATAGAATAAAGGCACTTATTCCATGAATAATTTATCACTCCGTGTAGCTAATTTCTATTGTGAAGAAAGCCAGTCGTCCCCAGAGAGAGCTCGAACCCGTTAAATAATTCAAGCGAACTGTAGAAACTCTAGATAAGAACAATAAAAAAAAGTTTTAAAAAAGAAGAAAAAGAAAGAAAAAAAGAAAGAAAAAGGAAACCGGCCGCAATCGTTTCTGTAAATTTTATCTATATTATCACATAGTTCGTCACCTTAGTGCAATAACATAATAAGTGCTTCTTTATTTAATAGTAGTTATTAAGTTTTTGCACTAAGGTGACGACTGATTACATCAAGAATTATACATGCATCTATATATCTTAAATCAGTCACCCGTGTAGACGTTTATTTATTGATATTTAAAATTGTGTTTGTTTTTAATATAATTATTTGTCCTAACATTTGTATATTCTCATATTTAAGCAATATCGTGCAGATTTAATCTTAAGTTTTAATAAGAAAAAGTCGCGCCAGCTTTTCAAGATCTTAAAACTGTAAACGTTAATAAACGCTTGTTATTCAAACATGATATATAGTTTTGTAACATAATGTCAAGTAAAATACATTTACTTATATGAATGTAGACAAGCAATTTAAATTTTGTCTACAACTGCAGAAATCAGTGACGCTGATATAAAACGCCGGGCAGGTAGCGCATGTTTATTTATGTAATTGCGTCTGCAAAACTCCCGCGAGAGTTGACGGCTCAATATCATGTGTAAAATTCATTTTATTATAAAGACTTACAAGGAAATATTTGAAAAGAATGTACTATCGTCTCACAAAGAAGCAGATCGGTATATGCCGCGTATAATGCGACATTCAACAACGTCGTTGTAACATTTATAACAGAGAGTTGGGTATCCAATGTGTTAAGACGAGTTGCTTTTCAAAACCGATTGCATTCCGGTTTCTACACTTATGCCGATGAAAACATTTATTAATATTATGATACAATTCATGCTTCAATATAAATCGCCTATACACATGTATATGCTTTTATATATTTTAAATGATTCTTACCCTTATAGAGAATATCCAATGAGATATATTTCGTATATCACCATAGGCGCATGAATATCACCTTTAGAGAAAATATCAATGTGGAGATATTACTTTCTATCACAATCCATATGTATTTTTACGTATAGTAGGATAAATTACACACGTCTGTCAGGATGATAGTGAATACTGCATGCCTTCCCTCATTCTGGTATACTATAGGCAGGCGTAGCCTCGCAATTATATTCCAGTTCTCGGCTTAACGATATCTTTATCACACCGACACCGACATGCCATTTATATACTTATACATGGGGGTTTGCTCACCCATATGGTATTTTCCGGTGGCGAGGATAAATAAATAAAACACACACAACAAAAAGGTAAAGGCTTGTTGTTGGCTGTTTACACGATTTACAGGAAAAATAAACAAAAAAAGTCTTACATCTTCTATCAAGTGCGTTTTTATTTTTCATCTTGTTGCTCATTTCTTTTCGAATGTCATTATTTATTATCAATAATCGTTATTGACGAGTTTGCAAATGCACAATTATGTATCTGTTGGATAAAAATATTTTCAGAAGTACATTTTTGATAAATACGAGTATTATGTTATATCTTTGAAAGATATACAAATATAGCATTGTCACAGTATTGGAACAGAGTCTTATTGTCGTTAGGTATTCTAATCACGTGCAATTGAATCCCGGGTAAAGCATCTGTTCTTTCGGATAATTTTGTTGGCTGTAGTTGACTGAATTGTATTATGCCGTGATATGACGAATATACATCCACTTATTCTAAATATAGTATCAATCATTTCGAAAAAGACTGTTACAAAACTTAAAGAATATATCTTGTTTTAATGATACACCAGTATATCTTTCATTTTAGATCTCCCAAATTGCTGTCTTAACACTGGGAATTACGTGTAACAAAATCAATCAGACAAAACAAACACAAATTGAAAAAGTTTCTTTCTTAAACATCTTTAAGTTGATAATTTCTCTGTTTGGAAAACAGAAAGAGGAATAATTTATTGTTTTCTCGTTCTTGATTAACTAAGTGCCTGTTTAACAGGACGGAGTTCTTTCGACAATCGCTTTAAGCCATTAACCCTTTCGAAATTTACAATTTCCCTTGATCGGTATGAATTTATTCTGTCTGTAACATTCGTCGTAACATCAATATTTTAAGCATGATTGAGGTGAAATGCGAGATTACCGTGATTTCTTGACAGGGGAATCAATGTCGTGAAGTGTTACCGATACAATGTGCTCTGCCATGAGAGAACAGAAATAGAAAAAAGTGATGGAAAAAACAAACAAACAAACACAAAATCTGTACGTGTACCGTACGCTATATATAAGTTATCTACAAATAAGACTGATGCAAAAGTTTTAATTAATTTTCATTCACTTACGTGATGAAAAGAACTGTACTAGTTATAATTTTGTAAAAACAAATGTAATAATAAAATAATAATAATAATAATAATTATTATTATTATTTTTATTTTTATTATGAAATTAGGCAAAGCCTATGAAAGGGTAAGTCGTTATAAAATTCCTTCCATTCTTTCCGTTTTAAGGGTGTCATTCGGTATTACACTCGGTATATATACATTCGGTATTCCGTTTTTACTCGGAACACTCGACAATAATTACTAATCCGAAAAGTTGAGATTTGTGCCGTTATCGGAAAACCCCGCCTATTATCATTGAGTTACATTGTAAATGGCGGCGCACGACTAGAACTGACACTGAAAATTTCATTGATAGGTATAGAATTCTATGTATTCTTTAATTGTTTTTTTTTATTTGATTTTCTTTTAAATATACACGTGAAGTCTATAGCCGGGCAAGCCAAAGTTGTCTGGTATATAACCATTGTCTAACGGCACACTCTGGAATCCGTTCCTTGAACCAACCAATTTTCAGCAATGCGTTTTAAGTTTAATGTCGAAGAAATCAACGACGTGTCTTGGACGTCATATAACGCACAAACTTACCCGCGTAAGTTAAAACGGTCGCTTTATTGATTTTGAAATACAAAACATGACTCAGATTAAAATAGCGGAGACATTTTACATTTTAATGTGAGATAATATGCATTCTGTTATTTAAGTATCATTTCATTTGCAATTTTAATGCACTTACATCGATTTTGTAATATTTCCGACAGATCTAATAATGAATAAACACGGAGTATTCCCTCGAGGTTCTGTAGATTTTTTAAACTTGGAATTTGGTTCGTCGAAGGATACAAAGAATTGAAAAGCACATTGAGGTAGTTTTGAGTTACAAGTCAAACAGCATCAATTCGAACTTAGATGTTAAATGTTAGATTTGGGCGTCTATCGAAATTAGCGGATTTTCGCATTTCTTCAAAAAAATGACTTTTTGTTCAAAATTAGATATAAGCATAAAGCAGTATTATTTTGATTTAACATTATATGCGTTGTTCAAATGCATTGTAAAGTAATGTGCTACAAAATGACCCCATTATAGAAAAACTGGTGCAATTGTTACTGTCACTGTTCATATTAACTTGATATATCACGTTTGTATGCTATTAGATTGATAATTAGTAAATCTATTGATTTCTTTGAGTGAAACATTATAATGCCAGCTACTAATGATCACCAAAATTGTTGATCAACTCGTTAATTAAACTCAGCAGATCTTTTCAACCCTCATGTAAACTTGTTTCATTATCCTCTACTTTTTCAACTATGGTTTTCATTCGTTAGCTATTGAAAAACAGAAGTGAGATAAATTTTATATCTATTTATTTTTAACTGAGTGCGATGTAGAATTTTTGTTTTCGTTCAGTACATTCACAAATATAGCAAACAAAACCCCTCTCGTAGATTAAATTGGCAAACATACATTTCCAAATCATTGCTCTCACATTATATATGGCACATACTTTGGTTTTGTTGTGTTTTTTTACTGTAGGCTTTAGAATATAGCAAAACAAGTTAAGGGTAAATGCATTATAAATAAATAATTGCAATCGCTTACAGTAATGCTGTATTTTCCGAAGGGACTATTGAATCGATCAACAAAATTAGCATACATTGCAAATTACTCTCAGTATCTGTCTAACAGACCTGATATATTCAAATTACTGCCAACTCCATATCAGTTATACAAACTGATCATATTGATACGACGCACTCATTTATTCATCTAATGGCCAATGTCGACATTAATCCATGCATAATGAAGTGCGCATTTTTCAGAACAGAAAACTCAATAATTCATCATCATTTCGCATTCGTCAATATTCGTTTATACGCATGGAGGCACTAAATAGTGTGGGCTTGCTACTCGTAAACATGATTGTGACCCGAGTAGGGCTAGAA